TCCCGTGAGTCTGTGAAGTTAATATGATTGGGTTTGGTCAAGTATTGTTAACCGCTTTCGCATATTTGCTCAAGTTAAATGCAGAAAGGGTGTGTCGGAATCGTGGAGAGAACTATTGATTGCACCCAGGTGGTGAATGCAAAGCGAATAGGTTATTCGTCGTTATGTTACATAGACTCGTTAATATTTTAGTGAGTTTGAAGTTTTAGTCAATGGAAAATTCGTAGTTCGGAATCATTTCTGGTCGTCATCATATTTTGGTGTCAAATGTCAATTCGCTATAGTGAGCAGAGTTGATTCAGTTATGTTAATTCAATTATCATGGAATAGAAGTTAATTTGATGCGTTGAAATTGAAATCAGGAGATCTCATATGAGGTTATGGTATTTTGATATTAACAGAAATAAGTCTTTTTAGACTATAATCTCTACTGATATTTTTCTATAACGACAAACTATGTTTTAAATAAAGGTAATTTTAGCGCAATGTCTACCATGGCTAAATTATAATAAGTTGGGCACCATAGCAGTCGTTATGCTGCGATGTAATAGTTACGATTAGCATAAGCAATGTTGCACACTACTGTAATCAACCCAGAACAAGCCGGTCACTGCCAACAATTATTCATGGGTAGAAAATACCTCTGGGAACTAACAAAAACGGAAACCGACCTGGACACATTAAGAAGACGAGTAAGGGAATTATCGCAACATGCAGATGTAGATGTACGTTGTTAATTCTGTTTAAATATGACATGGAAAATTGAATAATGTTTTTTTTTTAAATAGCTTCGTACACTTGTGTGTGGGATTTGTGTAGTGGAGAGAAAATGGGTGTGCATTGATTTTTTTTTTATGAATGAGAAAGATTGAGTCTATTTCTCCTGTATTCCACCTGATTTGCGTTTTCGGTTTTTGGCTACTCGTGGGATCATTTTAGTAATGTAAATGAATACACTAAATAGTACAAAGTTTTGATTAATTTTTCAAACTTTTCTTTAATCTAAATTAATCCGGGTAACATGCGGTTACACATATACCAAATTTCAATATATGAGTAGTCCCCATTATATAAATTTATATATAGAATTTTGTTAATGTCGAAAAATAAAATTAAAGTTTTCGTGTCCGATATGGTAGTAGCATCACCGAACGACTGTCCCAAAATTAGAATTATTTTGATTAACGACTGCCGCCCGGCGCGTTATATTGTGTTTAACAATAAAACAATATTTGTTATTAATTTTTATGTGTTGCACACGCTGTATTTGCCTCGTCATCGTTGTTTATAATAAGTGAAATAGCAATTTGCAATATAACGTCTTTTGAGGCCAGCATGTGCAATTTTTTTTTCAACTCCATCGTCAAGTTCTAAGTGATGGGGTTCTGCAAGAAATACATCATCTACATACCTACTGCCAATTCTGTCGACAGCACATTATATTGAATAACCTACAAACGCCATATTCTCCATTTTTTTAAATCTGACGAAGTACTGACAAAAAGAAGATGGATATACTTTGTTAATTAAGCGTGCCTGTATGTGGGCAGCTTTGTGTATTCCGGCATATTGCTATCACTACGAAATTGACGTATAATGGTTTCGTTTGAGCAGCAAATCGCCTCAAAATGATAAATAAACGATATACCGCCTGAATAAACATAAAAATGCGTCCACGAAACACTCGTCTTAAGACCAACTAAGCATTATAAAATGTCCTCGAAATATGCCTGGACGTGTTTTCTTGAATATAAATCGTTAAACTTTGTTGATTACCAGTCATTGCTGAATTTCTCTAAGAAGGTAGTATACTTTCGTAGATATGTTATATTTCCAACCGAGAAAAATAGTTATTATTTGCTTTTTTATACTTATCTATTTTTGAACTTGGGTAGAGATTATATATTTTATATTAATAAAATAAGTCGAATTAAAGGCAATAAATAACAATTACCAGTATGTTGTAATGTGTAGTCGATTGCATATAATGCAAGGATTCTGTAGTTAGAGTGAAAAAACTATTCCAAAATGTATATAGAAATGTATATTTGTCACTTAGCCGAAAAAATCCTCGAATTGCTTATTATAATTATACTAACAAAGACCTCAGTTAACCCAAACTTGCTAAACTCGCAAAAGCAGTGTTGTATAAATGAGGAGAGCGTAAATTATCCTTTTTTAAACCGTAACTTTTTATTGGAATACTTCGATGAATATTGAATCAAACTATGATTAGATACCATCTTATAGTGCACATCCTTTGTAATATTTTCCATTAATATTTTTTAAACTTTCAATACTCGGTCTTTTGTCTTCAAACTCGCGTTATGCGGTTTCATGCGCTGATTCTACCACTCCTGAGTGATTGGTAATTGCATCTACTAAAATCAAACGAGACATTTATTTCAAACGATTCATTTAGTTCGTATCTGAATTGGGCGGGTCGCGTATTGGTGATAAATTAGTCATGATTTGACCTCGACTCGACGTTTGGGACACTTGGGGACACTTGGAAGAACATTTTGAAGTGTTGAATATATAGTAACGGTGTCACTCCCCATCACTAAGAATTTGCACACCTAGGAGAATGATACTTCCTCGCTTTTGTTGTGATACGGATTTGGTAACAATATTTATTATTAATACCTTAGCAAGCGGCCCAAGCGCGGTCCACCCATAACATTTATAACATTTGTCGTATTAAAATAAAATTATTGCTAAGTCTGTGACGTCGACAGGGTTCTTAAAATTCGTTTGCTCAATTTACGGCTGTGCGTAATTCGCTTACTTTTTATTTATTTACGTGCGTTTGTGTTTGACAAGTACATTTTCTTGAAGGACAATTTCGCTCAAGACAAGAATATACATATACTTTAACCAATGAAGCAAATTATTTTTCCGAATCGGAATATACCTTCGGCCGAAAATGGTTGCTTAAAAACGATGGGATCCATCTTACCTTTCAGTGCCCGCTTATAATTAAACAATCATGTACATGGTTTATTATTTTGTATTAGGATAGGATTTACATAATTATGATGGGGGCAGGAAAGTCGATAAGACGGCCCGAACCACGACAAACCTATAGACGTGGTTCCATATTTTATCTTTCGCGACAGATCAGCTGCAAAACCCCCTAAACCGGGACAGATGATAGACATTTTTTTTGGTAATATTTTATAGGGAATAGGGATGATATATATTTGGGCCCCCCACACATCAAAGTTCCTAGTTATGTTACAATATTGGCTGATACCACCTGTTATTATTATAGTAATATGCTATGTTTTCGGAAACCAACAATAAAACGGAATTAAGTACTGAATTCAATAGATTTCAAGCACGAGTCTCGTGAGCTTATTATGGTCGGTGGCGACTAATCCTTTCATCTTTGCCAGACATAACAATGTGGTTGAAAAATTATAATATATATAATTGTAAGTGATTATACTTTACTTTTTTCTGTAATCTAATATTGCAGACTTAGTCATAGACTCATAGGTAATTTACAAATTTTTTACCCAGACATATTTCATTAAAATTAAATAATATTAATATTAATTATATTTTATTTTGTACGATTTCACTTCCATCCATCTTAGAATGGAACTCAATGGCGTTCAAACTAGTGTCGATTTCCTAATTTCAGCGTTGTTCTCTGGTAAATATGTCAACTAGCAATTGAGACAATGAGTCACTATGTTGTTCGGTTTAGTGAATGAATAATTCTCAACAAATTGTCTCGCGAGACAATACAAGTTATCGTCAGTTGCTTTTGTAACTGAAACAATGATAACTCAGGTGTCTTGTTTTATTTCTGGTATTGTTAACTAAAGGAGATCATATTTATCACACACAAATCTTGGATATATAAACCGAAGAGACTATTTTTTAATTCGTAAATGCCCACAAGACAAATTTAAGTTGCATACATAGTACATACCAGTATCGTTCATTACTCATCAGGACCAGCAGTTTTTTTTTCTATAAAATTCTAGTTATTGGAAAGAAGTGCGTAGGGATAGATACCCTAACTTATCTCATACATTTTTCTATGGGTTTTTTAGCAAATAAAAAAAAAACACAAAAATGATATTTCTTTATGCATTTTTCTGTGTTATTCATGTATGTAATTAAAGGTCCATGGCCACGCTGTGTGTGACCAGGTAAAATTGTGAGTTTCAGGCAATATGTTCCATGGAATGAATTTGTGTTACAATATTTAATAAGGAATCAGTTAGTTGTAGTAAATTTGTTGAACTAAACATCAAATCGCTGTTGTCAAACAGGAAATTTCCATTGATCTCTTGAATACGTGACAATGATTTTGTTATAATGTATTGATTTCTCAAAGTGTGTCATAAACTACTGGATCATTCTCTATTTCAGTGTAATTGGAAACACAAAGTCTTATTTCTGCCTTAAAAATTGAATGCTGGTCAATATTTAAAATTAATTCCAAACTTGTTGATATGTTTGCTTTTCTATCTCACTTTCAATTCAATTTTAATTTCCCGATCAAATATATTTCTTTGTCACAAACGGACTGTTTATTTTCACGCTTTTGCCAATGACCCAAGACCTCCGCCATCGTCAGGATGTCCATTGTTCTGGTTATGAATTGACGTGATCTTTTTCTTGTGTTGTATAAGTGTGGCTGTCATCATTTCTTTGTGATGAATAAATGAACTATTTATCATAATTTTCAGTTTAAACTCCCTTGTCACCTGAAAAGGCTTTTGGCTTACTATTTACCTTTGATGGTGCCTATGTTTTGAAATCATAAGGTTTAAACAGATTTAAGAAATGAAATATATGTTGGCGCTTAGTTTTTATTTCTAGGTTTTCTTCTAATATCGTTTTACTGAATGATCATGTTTGCACTATCTAGTCATAAATTAATGAAATACCATGACATAAACTATTAAAAATATTCAGAAAATACTGGTGCCATGCTGCAATTTATTCTTTTGACCTAAATTTTCGATTTTTCTCTTCAGACACAAAGAAACAATCTTGGGGAAACTCATCCACCAGTAAGACCACGGAATACATGGGGACCAGAATCTCAAGATAAAGTCACTCCAGCATTGGCAGGATTACCTCAACAACCACAACCCAGAACAAGACGTGTTAATGAACCAAGTAAGTAACTTTATATTCCTTTATAGGTAGTGGCAAGAATATTAGTTTGACTTATTACTAAGGATTAAATGATACGAACAAATTCTACAGCTACCCCATAACTATATTGAATTTCATTTCATGATTCTTCTCAATAACACTTCATAGAAAATTTCTACAAATCTATAAATACGGGGACCCAAAAGCAGAATCCATAAATTTCTTAATTGCTCCTACAAAAATGAAGAAAATTTGTTTAATTCACGACTTGAATTTCTGTTTGTGTATGATTACACCCAAAAGTAATCTAGGAGGCTTTCCACAAAAGTTATGTTTCATCCAGAATATCTTCCAAATTAACCTGGATTCTGTTATTTGGGTGTCACCTTATATATTGTTTACTATAAGAATTGATGAATATTTCTGAAGGAAGTATAGAACAAGTGCAGTGCAATAAAAGTATACGCTTGTGATCAGAGTAAACAAGGTTTTGTAGTGTTCCACTTTTTATGACCCTGTCGTAATCAATCATGTCTTCAAAACTTACCTCAATTTTTAACGATTTTTTATATTCTCTGGATTGACATATTCAGTGAACCTCGTAGGCCACCGCACATTTACATCACTATTCATTTTTTTCAACCGATTTATTGGTTTTGTAATAAACTAGGATACCGTTGGATAAGATCAAGTGCTCTTGAGAATTGGCTCCCTTTTGCCTTCTCATCTGAAGTGCCTTTCACATAGCACTCGGCTGCTTCGGGACATTGAATCATACTATGCCATTCGATTTGAAATTTCTGACAGAATTTGGCGCTTTGATTCTATATTAAATGTTATTGCTCCTATATTTTGTGACTTAAATTGAAATAATTGCATTACATCATTATATCAATACACAAAATGTTTATTTTTTCTTACTAAATAAGCCAAATAGCATTTTCTAAGATAATGACAATTTTAAAATTGCCTCGAGTGTTTTTATTATTTTTTTTTCAACCTTTTAAATCAGGCTCAAGTGCTTCGGGTGGTTATCTGGAAATTCATCAACGCAAACAAGCAAATGCTATCAATAAAGAACCACTAACTAACGTCGGCACTCCAGGTCTGTTTCTGAGTAAACGATTAATATAGCATTATGGTAGTAGTAATTCTACTTATTGATACCAATTTCAATTATCTTGAAAACTTTAATTTACGGCTTGACTTTTTTAATGACTTTACTTCAAAGAATGATCTGCACATCCACATCCAGGACTGGATTCTTCTGGTTCAGCATTGCCTACTCAATTTATTACATCCCAGATTTAGCAGTTCCTTTTGTTTCGATGCTATCTAATAATCCAATATTTCTAATAAAATTTGGTACTCATGTGGTATGTGAACCAAGACGGCGGACACCGGAACGTAGTATATGTACCAAGTTAGGGTTAGGCCATAATTTCAGGTACAAATAAAATACTACGGGAGTCACTTGGCTAGTCCCCGAACTCTCAATAGAACTAAAATACTGAAAAAAAATGTAAAATTTTTTTATATATTTATTTGGTTTATGGAATCCTCATTTCTAATTTAGTCAATTAATAAATTATGATTAGAAGGATTTTTTTACACCTGAAAAATTTTCAAGTATCATTAAATATTGTTTCACAGTTCGCCATCGTAAACAATTGGAAGGAGAGTCTGTTGGTTTACATTCCGCTCCACAAATGGGTCGGAATATGAGTTTATCTGGCGGTGGGGGCTATCAACCATCATTTGGAGCAAATGACGTCTCTGCAAGAAACTCAAGAACGAACCTAACTTCTGTGAAGCCACAGAATGATGTTCTTTCTAATTCGTGTCCTACTACCTTCTTCGATGAGAATAACCAAGTGAAGCGGTTCCAGCAATCTCCCAGACGTTCTCCACTTGCGTCAATGTCAAATGAACCTTCTTCAGGACAAAGATCAGTGAATGGTAAATTATATAAAAAGATGACTGTTTTTTTTAAACTTCAAAATTAAAACAGACTTTTGAATCCGTAATATTATGTTTCGTTATCTTTTTTCTTGGGTTCCAAAATTGAAACAAACAACAATATGTTGGAAAAAATTCATAACCAGAAATAGGTTGTATCCTGGAGTGTGTTGTATGTAGTTGACAAATTAATAGTACATGAAAAAACAATATAATGCTAAAACAAGTTAACATAATATATTGGCTCCCCGTCCAATTACAAATCAAGTCTGGTATGGGAACCAGCCAGCTATTCATTGCATATACACGGACGAAAATGTGAACCTGGATAAGTACCCATGTGATAGCAATTGTATTCCTTGCGCTTAGAGTCAATTGATCTCATTGAAAAATATTGACATTTGACAATATCTAATACTAATGAATAGCTTTTCAATTATGATGTCATTATATAGATTTGTACCCACTATTTCAATAATTGCTTGCAAATATTTGAAAACACCAATATGAAACTCACACCAGACCATTGCAATATCTTGTGAAACTCTTTCGGAAATTCATCAAATCTGTCACAAAATTCAATTCTTTTCTTTATATTGAAAGGAATAACCACAAGTTCGGTTCTGTTACACCCATGATCATTCATTTTCTCATTCATATTTTTGTTCAAACAATTTTTTATTTGCTGATTACCAACTGTCATGTGTACACACACATGTATTACAATGGGAAATTCTACCATTCAAAAATTATTTAATGCCAAGTATAGACCAAAGAATTATTGCATCTAATGACATGATTTTATCTTTAGCCTTTGCATAATCTATAGATGAACATTACCTGAGAACTTAGATACTAAGCCTAAAAATAAATGGGTGTGAAATGCTATATTCTGCAGGAGACTTTGATTTCGATTTGGGCATTCATTAATGATTATGAATCATACAGAGGGACCCAAAAAAACAAAACCTATGAATTTCCTAATTTTATGGAAATGAAGAAAATTTATTTAACACATGACTTTCTTTCTGTTCGTGTTTCAGTAATCTAAAGCGTTTTGCACAAAAGTTATGTTCTACCTAGAATAGGTTCCAAATGACCTGAGTTGTGTTTTTTAGTCACCCTATATTATTAAATTTTAAGTGAGATTTTCATTTGCTTCTCAAATAGGTAAGATAATTCATTTCTTAGTAAATATTCTTTGAAATTTTATTTTTAAAAATTCTAGAATATTATCATCCTATTCAGAATTTTAAATTGGATCTGATACAAAAGCATTCTTTACCTACATAATACATACTGCATTTTATTTTGAATCACAACTACATTGCTTGGATATTTGAACACTTATGTAATGCTCTTCAGTAATTTATTTTGCATTTCAAAGCAAGTTGTCAAATATCAAACAAACTGTTATCTTTGTCTCTCAGATGGGATAATAAATGAACCGGAATCTCCTATTCATCTCAAGCCACAGTTGGCAAGATTATCTGCTAAACGGAGGGGCAGTCCTAACGGAAATAAATTGGAAAATCAGGTTTGTATGTGGAATATTCAAAAATTCATATAACAGAAGTTTGATTATGCTTGAAGTTTGAGTAAGATGAATATGCTTCAGATATTTGTATACTAATATTGAGGAAAAGATGGTTATATGGTGAAACATGTTAAATCCACTTTTATTCTGCAGAAACAAACTCAGCGTTACTGTTAAAAATTGGTTAGGCAATGCCGAATCAGAAAAATGGCCTTCAAAAAAAAAAAGTAGCTTCACATAGATAACAAACAAAGGCTGCTTGTGCATGGCCCCTTTATTTATCAAGCAAAAGGTTGAATGAACGTCATATAAAAACACATTTTCTGTTTTGCGAGAACCCTAAGTATGATAGATTACTGGTTGATCATGTAAGAAAGATATACCAGATTATGCTTTGGTTAAAAAAAATTTGGTAACTAAAGATCTTATTATCTTCACAAAACGATATGTCACAATAGTTCCACTAGATTCTATGATGAAAATGCCGACTAAAACTGTTTTTTCCTTATTTACTCTAGCTGAACGTACAAACTCCTCTGAAATTGAAGAATTCAGCATCACCAAGACTAGACAGAATAGCAGATAACCCAACCGTTCAAAACGTGCGACCTCTCATTAAACAAAATCGTAACCACACTGATGCAAAACTAAACAACAGTTATTCTGATTTGTTGGACTCTTCACTATCCAATGGGGGTATACCACACACAAGTGGATATACACCTTCAGGCCTACAGCAATCAAATCCTGGTCTAAATAGCACAGTACCTATGGCAGTGATAAGGCATCCCGCTCACCAATTGAAGGCAACAAGTGGAAATACGAGTTCAGCTAGAAACCCTCCAAGCAGTTTCAATTTTTCAGCAGATTTAACAAATGATGCTAATAATAACGATCTATCTCGTAATAGTAAAAAAGACTACGTTCCTAGTAAATATACTCTCGATAATTATGCCCAAGGATCGGATTCAAATTCATCATCTCAGCTAAAATTAAGGTCCAAATCAGACTCGCATGCACCTGTTAAAAACTCGCAAAGTTTGCCATACGAGCCTTTTTCTCATTCTGAAGTTATTACACACCCAAGACTTCTGCAGAAGACTTCATCACCAATACAGAGTGAAACACCGAGGACAGCACCTCATGCTGGAGTTCGGGATGAAGATATTCCGGTGAGTATGTTAAACATTGGGTTGAGTGCTTTGCTTTTACTTGCTAAACTGCTATGATTACATATAAATGCCTTTGTCAAATTATAGTAATTTTTCAGTCGAAAACAATTTCTCTGAAAATGGTAGACACTGATCAGTGGATAAATAGAGATTTAAAATGACAACATAAAATAAAACTTTTTCGCTTAAATTTTAGTAAACCTATTGCGCAATACAAAACTTATAGATTTGAAGGGGTTTGATATTATTACTAGTGTGTACTAAATAACTGTGATGATATCGATGGGAATATCAAATATTGAAATTTTCTTCGAATATTCTTTGGTCGAGCATTGCCTACATCATGTGTAATTTCACCGATGGAAGTTTGCAACTTCCTCAGCCAAAATCCATACAAGCTTAGGTTAGAACTATTACAAATTCCCATTTTTTTAATGAGTTCTATAATGTTTTACATGGTACAAGGCATCATCAATGGACCGAATTAGACAGAGTGCTCAGAAAAAACGCAATCAAATGCAAAGAAGTTTATCGAGTGGAAAAGAACTCAATACAATGGGAATGTCTGGATTGGATGGAAGTTATTTATCAGGGTATGATTCATGCTATAATGTTTCAAAATGGTCTTATCTTATTGTTTTTGTGAGTTCAGCGTTAGTATTCACCTTCAGTAATAATAGTTATGGGGCGGTGGCGGAGTGGTTGAAGTGTTATATTCAATCATGATTCATGATTGCATTGCAGGTTCAAATCCCATCCACACCACCTCGGAAATGGTGTGATAAGTTGGAAAGGCAATGTCGAACCAGAAAATATTCTGGCCAAAATTTTTTTGCAGAGCCTTGGTCTGAGCAACAATCATTATCAAATTGGACCTGAGGAATAAAAACTTTCAACTAAAATTACCCAATCAATTGATTCTTGATGTTATTATTCAAATTAAACTTTAAATTTTTAGAATTGGATTGTTTTAATGTTTTATATTTGTATATTCAAATTATTTTTTTTCACTTGTTTTTTCAGTCAACCAAGCGGGCGATCAACAGCTCCAGAAACCGGAAGTTCTAATAGCAGTATTCTATCTCCGATAAGTAACAAGTGAGAAAATAACTTTTTCTTTATATTTTCAAAATTTTTTAAAACCATGAATGTCCTCTTCCTTCGTGGTTATAATATTAATAGCTATAAAGCACTGCAGATGTGATTCTTTTTTTAATTTAATTTTCATGAAAAGCTTTAAATTAAAGTAACCGATTGTAATTTTGATAATCTGGAATTTCCTTAATATTTTTTTGGTTTCATAATTTTTGAGGATATTTAAAGCTATCTTTTTACATTAAGTTACAATTACGATATGGTTTAAATTGCTTTAAATTATTTATAAATTCAATTTATAGAATCATTCTGCACATAGTATGGGAGCATTTACTTTAATTACACTGTTTTTGTATTGCGTGTTTACAAATTATCTGAAACGGAAATGTATATGAATGTCACGGACACATCTTTCATAATTGTGGTTTATTATTATAAAAGCATTGACAAGAATAACCATGTTTCGCGGTTACTTGCACAAGAAAAGATATTTTTTTGCCGCTGTTCATCCACGTCACTTGGCAATATCTTTCCAATTATATTATGTTAAGAGAGTGGTATGGCTTTTTGCCGACTTGAGATAGAAGAATGTTAACTAGTTTTTGTTCAACTAGGACAAACAGCCACTCCTCTTCACCTATTCAGTCGACAAGCCGTGACAGCTTAGAGAATATTTTCATTAATGGATTTCAATCCACACAGAATAGGTACGTTTGTCTATATGTGTAAACGCACCGTCAGTTTTTTGAACCAATCCCGATTTTTTATTTTATTTGGGACTTATCCAATTTGACGATTATTTGGCCTGGATCACTGGCACCCCTTACCAAGATTAACCTCACTTTACCATGAAAAAACAGTGAATATGATTGTTTTCTTAAAAAATTCAATGAAGTAATGCCAATTGGTTTTATCGCACTCTTTAAATTTCTGAAAATTCTTTAATTTCATTAAAAAAAAATTAAATTTTTGATCAAATGTTTGTGTTTTTTTTTATATTTTGCATGCAAAATTACACTTTATTAATTGTAGTGCACCAACACCACTATAATAATGATTATTTTGTCATCAAATTTGATAATTTATAGACGTTCATCACGTACTGATAGTGAGCCTTCATCCACTTACTCCACTGACACTGGTTATATGAGCACTGTTATTGATCCCAGAAGAATGAGAAAAGGGTAGGTCACTCGTAATTTCAAAGTTTTTGTAGCAATTTACTAATCCTGTACTAATTAATTCCAAAATTGTTTGGTTCTTTTCAATTTTATACTAAAATTAATTTGGATGTAGAAATTTATATCCAAATATTAACTCTGTGAACTGTGATAATTTATGATTTTACATATATTTTGATTTTGCTTCACTGAAATGATGTCACATGATATTTTCAGCAATATAATTGAAAATTTAATAACAAAGGTAAATATAGGATAATAACATGCGCTGAAATTTGAATATAACTTTTCACAATCGTGGGAATGATAAAACTTTTAAATTATATGTCCTGAAATATAATATTGTACTATTCAATTATATTTAACAATAGACGTGAAATTGAACTTGGTAAGCTACTACAGTAGTAGAACTAGTTTAAATCATGGGGCCTGCTTACTAGCAGGTGTAATGTTATTTTTGTAACCCTCTTGATGCGGATATAGACTGTCGACAGATCGTAATTACCCCCCACACCGTAGCCGCAGTTCATTTTATCTTGACTCGCCACTATTGTCATTTCATTTCGCTACAATGTGACATTCCTATATTTCTATAGTCTTGTTGTTCTATCATGCCATATCTATTATATTTGCAAAAAGCTAGGACGTCTGAGAACAATTGAATTCGTGTTACGAGCTAAAATGATAAAAAGATAAACCAATCCAATTGTATTGTTGTCTCTCGTTCTATTGTTATCTGCTCCGACTCTACTCTGAACACTCACACTCCTTGATATATCGAATGCCAATTTTTCATGTTGGCAACCTATTAGGACTATAATAACAATAGTGTTGTATTCTATCATATTTATATATGAATCATATTTAATCAAGCATGATAAGATGATGAAATATTTTAATAACTATAAGTTATTTTTAGACTCTTTATTATAGATCAAATACTTTGTAATAACACAATAGTTGAAATAATTTGCGGTCTCTAAAATTAGATTTATAATGTACTATTTTTAATGTTATATATTTCGATTTCGGACATATTTAATAGTTCTGTATTTTGAGAAAACTTGGAACAGTCAAAATACTCGTATGGTTAAACTTAAATACACTAGTCCACCCAAAACAAAGGGAACTTATTTGCTACAATTCTGTTTTTTGCAAACCCAGTATTTCTCTACATCAAAATGAACATTTATAGGCAGCGACAGTATAAAACGTCAACACAAACTGTCAATGAAACACTCAAATTCCTAGTAACTATAATATGAGACTGATTAAATCTGGCCAAATTGTTAGAATCATAGTTTGTCACAGAACACATGTTTTTTCTTAGATTTCCATCGAATAATATTCGAAAAATTCATGCCGCTCTTTTTTGAATGTATTCATATTTTTATTGTGATGTCTGTACTGTTCCCACAAAGACTAATATATACTGGTAATTTGAAATGGCAGATAAATTTGAAAGAATTGCGGTGCAGTTATTGCATCTGATTACTTATATTCCACAAGCTTATATTATTAATAAATCTTTATTTGGCATCTTAATTACCCAATAAACCAGCGGTGTCCATCCCTGTTTAAATCAGTCTTCCCTCATTAAACAGTCATTAAATGGAATGACATTATGCATGAAAGCATTTTACAGGCATTATAATTTTTCCAGTTTAAATTCAAATATTGAATTTAAACTTGAATCATGCTTGGAGATTGCATAACTTGAAGCAAAAATAGTCTGGTTAACCTTGATCAAGGGAATGGGATTTTGTTTATGCAAGCTATTAGGCAAAACAAACTCAATGAAGTGCCCTAATCCTCTCAAGTAAATTGATGTTTTATCAAGCTTACCCTACATCAGCAGTCGTTGCACAATTATATCACCATTTGTTGATCTTTTCTCTATCAGAATCAACAATACCCATCCCATTGTGTTAGATTTTGTTGACTTATCCCAAGTACAATGCGTATATCAAGTTCTTAGTGTTTATCTGGGTTGGGGTTTCCACCAAGTAACATGTAGTTATCTAGCATTGTACTCAGAACTTGTATATCCTTATTGTGACTATTTGAAAATTTTATAATGAAAACTCTTTTCTCAAGGAGAATTTTAATGGGATATATTGAGATTTGATTTCTATTTTTTGTTGGTGAGATATGGGAAGTGGCGTAAGTGTCAGTATGCCAACTTTTATGAAACAAAAACAATGTTCTATTCAGTTGAAAAAGTAAGTTTTATAAAGAAAATTAGCAATTTTTTTACGTAAGATTAGGAAGTGTTTAAAAACTGTAAGGATATATTTTGTAATTTGTTATATAAGTCTAAGCAGGTTAGGGTTAGGCCATAATTTTATTTCTATTTTCCTTTTTTTAGTTCTATTACGAGTTTGGGGACTGGTTGTGTTAGCCAAGTGAATACATAGGTACACAACTTGATGTAAAGTGAGCGAACAAAATTAGTTGTCTCCATATTGGTACACATACTCCCAGAGCGCCGATTTTTGAACATATAATACTCAATATTTGTCTCAAGCCAGTTTCATTGGTTGAAGTGTACAGTTTTAAAAGAATGTTCTATGTAATTCTAAAATCAATTTCTACATTGATAAAACTAAGTTTGGAGTTATTTATTAATAGTATTTTCTTGGTGGAAATTTAACTTTTTGTATTAATACATATATACATTTTTATATGTACTGTTTGAAATATGTATTGTATACCTTACTTATATACCGCTAATATATTCATTATTTAATTGCCGACCTTTTACTGATATAAATCGGGACATAAAAGGGATAAACACTTATTTAAATCTTATTTCATAGGTTGTTTTGTTATTTGCATCTTCTTTTCCCATTCATTTTGTATTGCAACTTGATTATATATAGTGAATCGTATTTAGAAGCATTTTGTTTTACATTTTAGCGGGAGAATTGATGTTGATGCCAGTCCGATCATGACAAAGGCTTCTATAGCGCGTCCAGGATCAGGAAAGTCAAATGGTAGTAGTCCATCATTGAATAATGTTTCAGCCTCCTCATCACGAGAAAACACAACCACAGATGCTCCGCCGTTCAAATACAATCCTAATTCTGGAGTGTCATTCAGTTCTAAGGTTTGTGAGATATAATTATTTTATTTGAAAAACTGCTTTCCTTGGATGAATAGATTGACTATGTTGTAATAGTTTGAGATTCTTATATGTTTTTAACCTAGAAATATGAAATTGATTATTTTGGCTTTTTATATTATGAATACATTTTGAAACAGCGTTCTTATGAGTACAAGCCGCCATTAATAGGTAACTGTATGCTACTGTATTTTGAAAGGACTTATAGGTAAACATATTTTAAATTGTTGTTGGTTGGATTGTTGGGAGAAAAGCTCCTGTCAGTCGTTAACCTCGGTAGCGCCTTGCACTAATATTAGTCCAATAATTAACTCTTAACGAACAGTTTGTGACACTTTTATGGCTTCTTTATTAGCATCCGATGACTTCAATCGAAGAATTACAGCAAAGACCAGACCCTCAATTTATATGCTAAATTACCAAGCAATGAGAATGAGATGGCGGGCATGGGATTTGAATTTGTAGTTTTTATCCAAAAATTCCAATCTAGTTAATTCGATCACTTTAGACACTAGGTAGGTTCCGAAAATTCTGAATTTTCACTCCATTTCCTTTTTGTTCAATACAGAAAAAATCAGATTTACCAGTCGTCGGTCAGAAGTACATTCTCAGAAGTCCGTCGTCAAGTGAAGCGACCATGATTGCTTCTTCTCCTTCCGCTACTCCTACAAATTCAAACATGAGCTTGGCGATGTCACCTAGTTCATCAGTGTTAAGCAGCAAACCATCAAACACAAGCTTAGGGTCAAATCAGGGGTCACGAGAAAGAAGAAGATCACAAAGAGGTAAAGTTTAACTTAGAAGTGATTTGCACACAGGTCCAAGGTTTATTGTTATGTTTTGGATAAGGGTGCCTGTTGCAGTATGCTTGCCAAACAGTTTTTTATATGCAACCATTTGCATGGATAAGAAAAGTTGACAGTTACTGATATTGAATGGTTGGTTGTAAACGTCATGCTTTCCAGACTGGCACGAGGTGTGTCCACCTGTTTGTCGCCAGTTGGATGATAAATTTATGACTCAGAGGCGCCGAAATGCGGCAGAGATCGCCATGGGGACCAATTAAGTCGCAATTTCGATCTATGTCCCGCGGAACACCCCAATGAAGCTCGCGGAAAAGCAGTGTTCCGCGGGACACAGTTTGAAAATTGCTGCTGAATACTTTTAAGCACAATGCTTTTTTCTTTTTTCCCAAATTTAATATGATTTTTAATTTAGGAACAACAGACCCAGATGAAGATTTCAACGTAACGGGGCGAGGTATGACATTAGAAATAATCTATTATGTATATAACAATAATAATCTACCATATTTATCCATTACACCTTTTGTTGTGCACATAAATAAAGTACTTGAAATATAGGAGTGTCCGAAGGAGTATTTAAGACCCATCTGCTGCATAACGATACATAGTTCACGGTTACTGCACTGGTCAGGGTGTGGTTTTATATTATATAAACAAATACCGCCAAGATTGAAAAAAATGAGTTAACTTTTTATTGAGAAATAATATTCATTGGCCATGTGTAATTCATTGATAAATCAACCCTGTTTAGCAACATCTCAAGAACAACCAAACATAATCTTTTTTTTTTTTTTCAAAAATTCTATAAGTTTGTTTTTTGTCCAAATTCCACAAATTCTGTCTCTGTTTTTTTACTAATGGTGTTTTAGTACTCTCATTCAATTTCATGAATGCGTGAGGAGTGTTTTTTTTTAAGTTACCTTGTGGGTGATTATTGGCATCAACTCAAATGTAATATGATTATGATTTTATAATATTGCATTATGTGTGGTAAACCATAGATAGAGCTCGGGACATTGTTTTAATATGCATTATTATGTGAGGAATGCTAGCTAGCACACTTTAAAATAAAAACAGAAGTTAACTTTGATATATATTTTGAAAAACTTTATTTATTTAAGCTTTATTTTTGTTTTGTTTAGGAAAAATATGTCTCTACTGATCCAAATACACTGCATCCTTATGATTAAGATCTTTTTTTATGTCTGGACATTGCTTTCAATATTTTGCTCACTGCCAAGTTCTCCCCAGACTGATTGGAGAAACTAAGTTTTGATATGAGATACTTTTTATTTTCTTAAAGCCATTCGTGATACCAGCTCAACGAATCTCTCTGAAGTTCCCGATTATTCTCCAACTCCAAGTAAAGACAGTTTGCAGTGGTCAAATAGCAATGATTCACTTCATCAATATCCACCAGGTTAGTATATATATAGCCTATTATGTGAAGATTGGTTGCTAGCATGCTCACAATCTTTCTTTTTGGACAAATTAGAGGATGTTTTCGGGCGTACATATTTAGTATGTATTCACAAACCATCAGCTCTCAACTTTTCAACAATTTTACGGCGTATGGTGTTTACACCCTTATTGAAAGAAAATACTCTTCATTCACTTTATAATATTAGCATTGCACCCTAAATATTTTGGCTACACCCTATTGTGCCTTCTTTCAGATTTAATTTTTGCAAGAAAAAAATTATTTCCTCTGATGGATTTAAAGCCCAGTTTAGCTTAATACTTGAAATATGTATGTATATTCCGTGAAACTTAAAATGAACAGCCATCTGAATAACCTACGGAAGTTTAATAATGTCTTTGTATTGTTGTTTCTCTTCTTTGTACTTGGCTATGGGAAATAGACATAAATTAAGTCAACAATGTATATATATTCCATTGCCAAGTTTTGTTATTTGTTGGACAAACTCTTATATATAAGCTTACTAACTACTTAGCCTTCATCCATTTTGCGCTGTGATGCGAGGATGCTATTTCTGAATTTCTAATTTAAATAAAAAATATTTTTGGATCTATAAATGATTAAAATTGTTTAAATACTATAAAAACTGAACGAAATACTGAAAATGCATAAATTTTTTTTACACCAAAATTACCGGTAATACTAAGAAATAGCACGAATTCAAACAATATAATGGTATAATTATGAAACTAACAAAAATTTGTTTATTTATGTATTTTTCCACTATTTTGCTTTCGAATAATCAGTTATTATTTTAGACAGATTTGATAACAACAATTCCCTTTGTCATAGATGCTGTTTACGGAAAAGCTGTTCAACAGCCTATTACATCATCTGATGTTACACATGAGGAATCGAAACAAAGAGAATCCGTACCTTTGTCAGCTTCGTTACTCGCAAAGCAGTTTAGTAAGAAAGAAGATTTGGAAAAATTCCAGAAAACGAAAAAAGGAAAATCAAGAAATCGTGGTAAGAAAAACTTTTTTTTTCAAATTTTTTAGTAACAAAATATATAATTAAATTTCTTTTTTTTTACTATTTTTTCAGGTTCTAATGAAGATTTACTAGCGAGTGATTTCTCTCATGGCACAAATAATGAAAGCAAGTCATCACCTACTAATTTATCAACATCCAACCTGCAACAACCATTGAAGTCTAAGCTCCGGTAAGAAGCACAAAATGCATTTCAATTATAATCTTTGTATTTTTACCATTATTTTATATGTTGCTTTCATGCCATCACTCAAAACAAGACACTAAATAAGGAGCTCCTGATACTATTTTGGAAGTAGCGAAATTTTTCCATTTGGCATTGCCTATGCAATTTTTCACATCTTTGGTTAAGGTGGTACGCAAAGGGTTTAAAACTAAGAATTTTAGCTGTGATATCAACAAGGTACAATATTCCTGCACTGATACAATATTCCTTCTCAAAAAAATTTGGTAATTTTGAAGAACTTGCATGTTGCCAAATACTGATTTTTTTTAACTCAATCAATTTTTCTTTTTCCATAGAAAAACTCGTTCACCGACGTCAACTAAAGTTTCTCCTCCAAAAAAATCAGGAAGCAGAGAATCAAGTATAGTGTTTTTTTTATTTACAGCTTTCATATTTTGCTTGGCACAAAGCTCAGATATTATAATGCAGCGAATTAGTATGTTCATTGGAAATGCCAGGATCTTTCCCATTTGGCATGTAATGTTGACTTTCAATGTTCTATTTTGGCTTTTAATATTCTAATTTGGCTTTTAATATTCTATAATGGCTTTTGATATTATATTTTGGCTTTTAATATTCCATTTGGTCTTTATTTATACTTTCATTGTTCTATTTTGGCTTTTACCATCTTTATTTTGGTTTTTGATATGAAAATTAAATCAACATTGGTCATATCAGGTTCATCAAGAACAACGACTGACGTACTGCCATGCTCAAATCCAGAGACAATGTTAAATGAGGCCATAACCAAAATGCAAACAGCTACTTCTGAGGATTGGGAAGGAATTTATAATCACATCCATACATTACGAAGATTAGCAAATTTCCATCAAGATGTCTTAGGATCGAGAATGCATGAAGTATTTGTCGTGTTATGCACAAATGTAAGAGTAATTTATTGTCTTGAAAAGAAAGGACATATAATATAATAAGGAAATGTACCTTGTGTGTCAAGTGTAAGAATAAGCTTGCTATCCCATTACTGAAAACTATACTTTGGCTTTTGTCTGTCCCTACATGAAAAAATATAATTTTTTAGGATTGTCAGACTCTTTGTGTCGCAAGGTGTTTCACTTAAACAATGACTCTACAGTTTAGCACACCATATTAAGCTAGACGGTGTGGCGAGTCATGCTAAGTGTTAGGAATCCAATCCGCTTGCCACCTCACCTCTGATTGCCTGCATGGGTTTGCAGGTTCGAATCCTGTATGAATAATTATGTACAAGAAGATAGTTGGACACCTCTATGCCAGTGCTGATCTAGTCAATGTATCTGAAACATACAACTGGCTAACTAATCCCATACCATGGACTTGAAAATGGGCTCGGGCCGTGATACACCATATGACTAAGCCACCTTATCGACTTTTTTTAAAATTCTATCCTATCCCAAAAATACTGTTGCAATCACGCTGTGACACACTGCATGGATTTGCAGGTCAAAATCTTGCTGGAATGCTGGTTCATGTAACAGAGCTTAGCAATCTTGGTTACCATTCTATCGCTTTATGATAATTCTGATAACTTTTTGAATCAGGAGGAGTAATTTTTCTTTATTTACTCTAATGCTGTGTGTTAGTCTTCATTTTGTTCATCCTATATGTTTTCAGGTTGCAAATCTTCGTTCTCAAGTATCGAGAGCTGCCGTCGTATGTTTGACTGATATTTATGTGCATTTAAGAAAACCAGTAATCGACACAGATATTGAGGTATGAACACCGAACAGTATTTTTTCTCACTATTTTTACATTTCAATAGACTGGCTTTAATTAAGCAAGGCCATGGATAAGATTATCATAATTTGACTACTACTATTATAACTTGTATTGAATTGTCCAGATTCATAGTCAAGTCCTAGATTCATTGTTTTTACTAAATACAGATAAAAATTAAATGGAAGCTTAATGACAAAGAAGGTCATTTGAATGAGCATAGAACCGGGGAAGGTATGGCATTTCGTTGGAGCTATAGCCAAGCTTACCATATGAAGCTGGCGCCGGTGCTACTAGAGAAATTTCAGAGGCACCAGCTCCTAGTCATCATCTAATTATTTTTTCCCAGCTGTAATTTTATAATACCATACACAAATAATGAAAATATCCCTCTTTTTTTTTTTAATTTGGTTTATAATAATTAATTTATAGCTCTTAAGTTATATTTGTATATTCAAAATTTTAAAAATTAATTTATAAATTTGTGCTGATGGTATATGATAGTTGTCTTATCAAAATTATCAATCAATGGCTATGGATCTGGATCCATTGCCAGAGCGAATGTGATTTCTAACTAGCTCTCCAGCCCTGATTAAAACAACATATTCATCTCTGCTTATAACCTAGTGCCATTTTTGCGTCTAGCTCGAATTCTATTCCGATTTGTTTATACATGACAAATAGATAATAATCTTTATTCACTTTTACAGTTGACTACAAAGTCTCTTGTATTATGTCACGGACGAAACACTGGTGCTTTTATGCAAGAAGAAATTTTAAAAGCTTTCCAGTATCTTGTAGGCAACTGTACTGCTGTCAAAGTTCTAAATGCACTTCTTACAGCTGGGGGGAGGTATGGCAGTCAATTTTAAGTTTTTTTGCGGATTTTTGTATTTATCGTTTATTATTTTATGGAAACTAAATTTTGGCAAATTTATTTATTTTCAGTAATCGTAACAACAGCGTCAGAGATTTAGTATCTCAGTTTGTATCATTACTCGTTGAAAGAATAAAACCTGGAAAAGCTCTTAGTGGAGTGAAGGATATTACAGACAGAATTTTACCAGCGGTATGACCATTTGTTTATTTCTGTCGGCTATTTTAGCAATATTGGCCGAGATATTCCAGTCCTACTTTTTCGAGCGAGAATTTTTGTTGTTGCATAAAAATTGCTTAATTAGCACATAGAGAAACTTTGTTACAGTTAATATTTGCGCTATGTCTATTAATACCTTGTTACTAATTATTTCAACTTTTCAGTGTATAATGTGTTTTTTTTGGCATTCCTCCCCTTTTTATTTCCCACCCGCTTCAACATTATTTAAAACTCCAGGCCAACCACTCCATCAAGGGTGTAATAAATTAGCCAAGCAATGCGGAATCGGAAATAGTTTAAATGTTTTACGTCATGTTTTCATAAATTTTATTTGTCTCAATAAAGTAAGACTTCCTCACAAAAGCACTGTACAGCAATGACAATAAAAAAACCTTCATTGCAGCAGTAAATATAATTAAAATCTTTCTTTCCAGACTGCTTCATTTATTTCTGATCCATCGCAAGCAACTCGTTATCATGGTCGTTGTATTTTGCAAGAATTGATGACGCATCCAGATTTTGACAAGTGCGTCGACAAATACCTAAACCAAAAGCAAGCTCAAGATGTTAAAGACGCTGTACAGAACATTAAAACGAGGGTAAACGAATATTATAGTTTTACATAAATAGCAATAAACTTCGTAAATGTAATAAAATTAAACGACTGTGAGTACGGATGTGGGTAGCGATAAAATTATTATTATGGGGGTATTTACTATGTGTACATAAATATTGGAATGTTTTTAATGACTTTTAGGTATAAAGTAGAAAGTTTGACGTCCTGACTTAAATTAATGGGCATAGAGCGGAGAAATACATTACAATATACTTTTAGTAATTAAGCTTCTAATTACTTTAATTAATTAATTAACTTAAGCGTTGGACTTAAACAGTGATGGCATTTTAGAGTAAAATCTCTGTTTTGAATCCTATGTCCACCACCTCACCCAGTGTGGTATAAATTGCGTAGGCAATGTCAAATCAGAAAGATACAGGTCTTACAAAACTATAATAGCTTTTTAACTAGCAGTGGGGCTTCACCGTGAAAAAACGTATAAATACGTTGTCTAAAATATTTTCGAAATTCACCCATTTCAACTGAATTTTGGAAGCGAGGTCACAAATCTGTATCTAAAAGTGAGATATATCGGTAATTTTCAATTCTGCTGTGTGATATATCATAAGTTTGCTGTTTATTAACTAAATTTGAAATATTCTTTCAGGGTATCGGATCAATAGGCTCAGCTGGTACGAGAAACCAAGGAAGTGGAGTGAGAAGAAATGGTTCCACTCGCGGTTTGAGTAGAACTGTGGGAAGTTCAGTAACAGCTGAGAGACTTCCTCAAATCTCTTCGAATTCGAGACGAGGCACACCAGCTAAATCAATTTTTAATGATCAGGTTTGTATTTCTGAATCTACTGTACCAAATGATCTTAATCAGAATAAATACTTCATACTGACAACTATTTAAAATATCTGAATGTATTTCTGTAAATAGAAATTATCTGTAACAATATTATATTGTGAAAGAACAGAAATAAAAAATCAACTGGAATTCGTAAATGATGGAATAGGATCGGCATATTTATCCCGGGGGAGAAAAAAGCCGATAACAGGGCTCAATCTGATGGCGAACTACGACCTCTCATCCGGTTAGCCATAACCGACCAGTGGTTATGTGGACCACCCTAAGACGGCGAGGAGTCCAGCAATCCTCTTATATATTAAAATACCTAGTTTTGCTTTTAGGGCATTTCCAACATTGACTTTATGTACCACGTTTCATAATAAAAAGCCCACAAACGAAAGTAAAAGAGTAAATTATTGTCGAAGAATTAAACAAATGACAGTAAATTTGCTTTAAATTAATGAAGTCATTGTCATCGGGAATGATACTTGTCGCTCGGGTCCCCCTGAGGAAACTCCATGGCCCCCAGGGGGCCCAGTTTGAGATAATCTGGTATAAAGTGGGCACCCATACAAAATGTTTACGAATACCCATGGCCTATAAGTGAACTAAATTTTCATTCTATTTTGATGCCATTTAGGATCAAGAAGAGATAAGGGTGATGTGCAAAAAACTAACAGAGGGTGATGTACCTGCTAGAAAAGAAGGTTTGAGAGAACTGGAGGAGAAAGTTGTGAAAAATCGTCCTCTAGTCGAGGAAAATATTGTCAAGGTATTCTTATTAGGTTTCCATTTTTTTTTCTCCTATTACTTATCGATTTTAATCGGTAAGTATGTTAATAGGTATTTGTCTGTATGTTTGTCTGTTAGATGCACGCGATATCTCACGAAAGCGAGATTGAATTTGCTCCGGATTTTGCATGTGCATTCATCTTATCTCGGACCAAAAGCCTATTGATTTTGGGCAAATTATGTCGTATAGTTAGCGAGTTATCAACCAAATATTGATATAGTGATCTAGATTTTTGTAAAGCGAGAGAATTTTGAGACCCGCCGAGTGTGTGTGTGTTATGTTATTCCTATTTGACTCAGAAAGTTTTTTTGTTTTCAAGCTTTTCATTACCGGTAGTTTAGTTAAAAATTCAGATTCCCTACATTTAGAAATTTATAATAAGAGTCCAGTAGAATCTGAGAATTCGACTACTAAAGTTAGCTTCTTAGCTTAGACCATCTTTGAAATGATATTGAAATTTAAAAATTTCTTTTATCAATTGTCGTTGATACCAGTGTTACTGATTTTTTTGAATTTATCAATCTTGCCTGAAGTTTTCCCCAAATATACAGTAATTACTATTAATTAATTACCTAATTATAGATTAATATTTTCTCAGACTAATTGTCATTTGTACCAATATTACTGTTTTTTTTTTTAAATTAATAGTCTTGCTTGAAGTTTACCCCAAATCTACAGTAATTAGTATTAATTAATTACCTAATCATCAAATAATATTTTTCTTAGACTAATTGTCGTCGTTGATACCAGTATTACTGTTTTTTTTAAATTATTAGTCTTGCTCGAAGTTTACCCCAAATATACAGTAATTACCATTAATTAATTACCCAATTATCAATTAATATTTTTCTTAGAATAATTGTTATTTGTACCGGTATTACTGTTTTTTTTTAAATTATTAGTCTTGCCTGAGGTTAACCCCAAATCTACAGTAATTAATATTAATTAATTACATAATTATCATTTAATATTTCAGATTATGGACGGATTACGATCATTGTTAGTTACATCAAATTCCAAGCTTAATGCCCTTGGTTTGGAAACTTTGTTAAAAATTATTCCTGATCTTGGAAATCAGCTTCCACCTTCTGATCTTGTGCCGTCTGTCTGTCGATTACTTGTTTCAAAACACCAGAACACTGCAAGACTTGCTCTGAAATCCGTTAATCAAATGTTGGAGCATATAGGTATGATATGGGATATGAATAGTTTGGGTTTTTATACTTTATTTTGTGAGAGAAGGAAATATAAATGATTTGGTTGTATTTGTAGAATGGCTCTCGACTGATGAACGAAGTATGAAAAAAAAATCTCGTTATAGTAACATGTTTGGTTGGTTAGTTTAGGTTAGGATAGGATTTACATATTTATCCTGGGGGAGAGGAAAGCCGATAAGATGGCCAATTATATGCAGAACCACGGCCTCTCGTCTGGTTACCAGTCCATGTCCGGTATGGGATTAGTTAGCCAGTTAATTGTTTTCAGATGCAAGGACAGTGGTTACGTGAACCACCCTACGAGGAGTCCAGGAAACCTATGCACATAAATAACCCTGCATGCGATTCAAACCTGCGAACCCATGCAGGGTAATCAGAAGGTGCGGTGGCGAATGTATTCCTAATGCTCTGGTTGATGTGCCATACCGCCGAGCCACTTTTTTAAGTGGAAGCAAATGTTTTGATCAATTTTGGCTGTGAACACATTTTGCTGAGCATCAGGAACATGCTTGACACTGCTACCCTGCGCTTCTAAATTATTATGCGCCGTGAGAACAGTTTTGGCTAAATTTTTCGCCATTGCTGGGTGGGTCACAAAACTGACTGGTTGCTTTCAGCTTTTACCACCTATTGCGTGCATTTGGGAGACTATTTTCTAGATTATTTTTTTTTGTTCAGATTGGAAAAACAGTATTCCAACTGTATCTTTTTTTCTAGATCATATGCAACTTCTTCAACAATTTGCTACATGTGCGATGTATTCACCTGGTAAAACAAAGCAAGTATGCATAGAGAAACTGGCAGGTTCGTATTACTTTATGTACAATAGGCAAGATCTCTATGAAAAACAAACTCAAAGAATGTGTTAAAATATGCTATTACGTTCGCTGATATTTTGTGGCTTTTTCGATTTGCTTTTATCCAACAGTATGTAAGAAGCTACAAATCCCATTGAAGATGATTACTGACTGATGATAACTTGGGTTCGTAGGGTAGGTAGTTCACGTGACTGTTGGGTACCAATATGGAGGTAACTCCTTTTGTTCGCCTACTTTACATCAAGTTGTGTAAAGGGACTGAAACCTATGGGCAGGGATATATTCACTTGGCTAACACAAACAGTCCCCAAGCTCTCAATAGAATTAAAATAAGGAAAATCGGAATAGTATTATGGCCTAACCCTAACCTGGTACACATACCACGGGAGTACCAAAATTCTATCCTATTCCAGTATATTTATTTAAATTTGTGAATAATCTAAACCCTATCATTCACAGAATTAGTAACAACTGTCAGTGTGAAGAAACCTCAAGCAGTGGAGAGACACGTACTACCTGTACTTCTCAGTTTAATGTCAGAAAAACACGCCATGAGTTTGAAACGAGAAACGACGATTCTTGCGAAAGCACTTCATGCAGTAATGGGCGATAACCTTCTTCAATACGCAGAAGCTAAAAACGCTAAAACCAAAGTAATTGAAATGTTGGAAAGTTAGCTGAAATGAATGTCGTTACTTTGAGTGTGTCAAAACGATTTATGGTAGTTTCTACTAGCATTGCACTATATTGTTGATTGGCTGTGATGTCAAAGTGACGTGGGCCCCTTCATTTAAACAGGATAAGTCGTTCGCGACATTTTAAAATTCATCAAATCTATATATATCGATATTACCGAGTGTTTTTTATACGTTTCATCGCCATTTAATTGAAAAATGTTGCACTGGACAATTTTGTAAAAACATACATACTATTGGTTAAATTCTGTGAGTTCAAATACCATCCTTATGAATTAAAATCTTGGCAAATGCGTCAATTTAACTACAGGTAACATCCTATTTTAAGTATGTCAGCTTTGCAGCATAAACTCTGAATACTTATAGTATTATTATAAGACTATGGGCTCAAATGTATATTTTTTTAAAGGTTTTGATTTTTTTAATATTTTTCCCTCAAATTTTATTTTTGTAGACATGCCTACCAGTAGTTAGTTTACTGACTCATATTACTCTTATCTCTTTTTATTATCGAAAAAAAATTTTAATTTTTGAATTTTATTATTTACACTATTTCTTAGTGGTAGTCTACATATTGATCTATAGCTTTTCCTTGTGCAAAAGTTATTATTCGCGCTTATTTCATCGTTCTGATAAAAAAAACGAGAGGATGCATCCAGAGAATTTCCTTTGTTTTTTTATGGCCTGCTTTTTTTATTGTTTAATTCAAAAAAGAAAAATTGGTATGATTGTTTCAGGCTGGTATTAAATACTTTGATGGTGTGTTATGATGTTAAAAATTTGATGACAATTTTTTTCAAATTTCTGGGTTATTCAACGATAAATATTACCTTTATATCAGGACTTCTCAACCATCTGGTCTCACAATTACCCCACAGCAAATTTCTAAAGTCAAATTCACTCAATCTGGCCGACGAATAAAATCAGTAGCCTATTTATGTAGCTTGAAAAAAAAATTGTCATTTCATTCAGATGTGTGTCTATGCCACTGGATATTGGAGTATCTATGCCAATATCTACAATCAATATGTGGGCCAATTCAGATAAAATGACCTCCATTGAACTCATTTCTCCCAAGTACCATCCCTAAATTTACTAATAAGTTTAAACTACGGGTTTTCCATTTTGCTTTATTAAATATTTACTACATGGCACAATACAATACAATAGAAGGTTCTTGGTTGTTTCTTTGAGCTACTTATATTTCAGTTGTCAATATTATTACTTTAATTTCTGATTGCATCCTCACTTATTTTTCTCCATGCATAGTGTTAAAATGTGTGCTTATATTTATCATTGTAAAGTATTCCTATTCAAAGTACACTATATTGATTTTTTGTTTTAAATGAAAATAAGCTGAAAGTTAGCATGAAAATAATAGTCATTGATTTAAAAATTGCTATCCTATAACCACTATATTCAAATCTTTCAAAAAATTGGCGCTCCAGAAGTATGTGTACTAATATGGTGGTAACTAATTTTGTTCGCTTATTTTACACCAAGTTGTGTAAAGAGATTGACCCCTATGGACAAGGGGTATATTTACTTGGCTAACACAGACAGTCCCTGAACTCTTAACAGAACTCGAATAAAGGAAATCGGAATAAAATTATGGCCTAACCCTAACCTCGCACACACACTACAGTACCAGAAAATTTTGTTAGTTTAAATAATCATTTGGTCTCAGAATTCGCTCTTTTGAACAAATCTTCTCTCTGTATTCCAATTAGTGTTTATATATTTAACTAAGGTTTGAGAATGTCTGTATAGACAACTATAGTTCAGTATATAATATCTCACCAATTCATATAAGTTTCTGTTCATGCTAACAGCAGACAACATAGTCTGAATCCATTTCATAGTACAAACTGAATTATTCATCAAGCAGTGATGTTGCTTTATGGGAATTTCAAATTAATTATTTATAAAGCCTGCCAATTTTATTTACCTGGCAGATGTCTCAGTTTAGCAATGTAAGATAAATGCTATACCCTATCTGTATGACATCATAGCACAATTATTGTTTCTGTAACACAATGCAGCTGTGTGTTGTCAACCCAGCTATGCATTGTGTTCCACTAACTGTGGCCCTTGAATATAAGGTGCCACATCTGCATTAACTATCTGTGGCCCATACGTGGTGGTGCATTTGCTTGAGTCATATAATATCTATCTCCCAGAGGTAAAAGTGAAATTCAATCTTTGAATCATGTAAGTAAGCATTAAACTCAATGTTCGGTTGTTAGGCAGTATAGGATAGGGTTAATAATTGCTGATCTACCCTATATGTTTTGAGGGTTCATTTAATCCAGTATTGTTCAAACTTTTTTATCTCGACCCACTTGGCACGGACAAAATTTTTCGTGACCCACACAGAACTAAAATAAAAATGAAGTAAAATTTGAAAATACAGAAAATATTTAAAAAAAAAGTTATAAAATTGACAATGCATTTAATGAGACTTGCATTTAATGAGACGAATTTGGCTCTATTACGGTAAAGATACTGTTTTCAGATCTTTTTCTTTTAACATAGTCAGTGTCGAAATAGGTGTTACCGCAACCCCATTTAGCCCTTTCGCGACCCCCAGTTTGAAGAGACATGATTGATTCAATCTATAAAGCTTAATTTAATTGGGCACTTTTTTCATATCTTTGAGCAAGTTGGTCAATTTAATTTGATGTAACATGGTGCCAACTAATCTCTTTCATTGTGATTAATAACAAGGCCTTAATATCAATTTTTCTATATCTTAGTCAAGAATAACATTGACAACAAATAATGCCAAAGGACCAAGTAATATTAAACAACCCTTTAAACAAACTAGCACTGTTTTCTTCTTAGTATTTCATCCTGATTTCCATTTTCCTTTGTATCGTTAATTTTTGCATCCTCCCTTTTAATTCCAGTTCGTTTGTTGGTTAATTTTTTTTTGTTCACTGTGTTGAATATTGAAAGCGTTTTTCTTTTATTTCTCAAGAAAAAAAGTACTTTTTCTACTTTGTAAAAATATATAATATTTCTGAAAGTTATATTAGTGTTTTATCGATTTATTTACAATGGGCTTGTTGTCTCTCTAGAAGACTTCCTAATATCACTCGCCAGTCACTTTATACTCGGAGAGGGAGGAGGTCAAGAAGGCCTAATCACATGGGGCTATCATATCTGATTGAGTTTAAGCAGTTAACCAATATTTCTTTCATATGTGTGATATGTACATGCATGTGTGATATGACATCTTTGCTTTTTCCAACTTCTTATATGCCTGCAACTCTCGAGCTTGCAAGGGCAGTTTTACGGTAAGTATTTTGTGGCGTCTGAAGCTGCCGCAAAACCATGTCCACTAAGGTCAAAACAAACCCATGGCGGCCGACTTTTTAGCTGCCATAAACTAATGGCGTGAGGCGGGGTATCACGGCAGCGAATTGAAAACCATGGTGCGTAATGACAGGACTGCCCCTGATGGTGACAAACTTTTGGGAAATTGGAACATTTTTTGATGGGTTTGGGGTTAGGTTTCAGGTTTAAATACATATAATTCCGCATGATAAACTAAAATCTGGTACATGACTTCGTGAATATACTGGTAATAGCGCCATAAAACCATGGCAGCAGCCGCCATGAAGTGTTAAGAACTGCGCCTCCAAGCTCGACTTGAACAGCATCACAAATATAGTGTAACGTTAGTCATATAAATGTAAGAAGAATAATCCATTTGCTTATCGAGTGTTCTTTCGACTCTGATATCTGAAGTTAGCATCTTGGTGATAAAAAATATTGCAAAAGTTATTTGAAGTAACCCCATAACAAATTCCATCGCACTTACTACATATACTATTTTGCATTCATTTTAATTTACCAATTTGCAATATCAAAAACACACTTGAATATAATAATGAAGAAGATCATGGCATGCAATTACAACTTAAATAGTAAATATCGGTAATAATAAAACGCATTGAGTTCGGAATAAGGAATCGGTCAGAAAAATTTTGGAATTGGGTAATTTAATTTTATAAAACTAGTCTAATATTTTGATAATATTAGTGAATATGCAGCAAAAATCACAGTAATTGAAGAAAAAAATGTAATTGTAGGAACAGAATGAATAGTACCGAAGTAAGAGTAAGAAAATTTGGCCATATCTATCAATCTCAACTTATAATAACATGTTTAAAAACACAAATGGGTTTGATCTTTTAAAATATATTTAAGTGAGGGTTTTCATTTTGAACTTCCAAAGGTCAGAGGCAAGGAAATTATAAGTATTCATATTTTAGAATTCTAAATACAGACAAACAGCTAAAAGTAAAACATTCAACTTGTTTACAATAAGTCCTATTTTATAGTGATATGTAAAAATTAAATTCATCTTTTACATTATCATTAATTTGAAAGTATTTAGATTTTAACTATGGACATCCCTATACAACATAGCTTGAAGAAAAATAGATATTACTGGCAATAGGCAAGGCTTCAGTTGGGCTGTGGATGAAAACAAATGCAGTGTAATAACAAAAACATACAACTACAATTTGCTTACGATATTTGCCTGAAAAAGGAACTTCACGTATAAATTATGAGCAATACGTGAAATCAGCATTCAGGAAATTGATATAATTACAAACAGGTTTATTATATTTATCAAAATAAAATCGATTCTGGCATATATTTGATCAGGTTTATGAGCTTAATGATTTTAACATTTATTGCTCACATAGGTTGGAAAAATTGTTATAAAAATGATTGCTAAAAATAATAATTTTACATAATCACATTCAGCCTTTCCTGGTATAATGTAATAGACTTTAATTGAAGACGTGATTGATTATAAAATGATTGATCATAAAATTCTAAATGTCGAATGAAATCAACTTATTTCCATACAAATACTAATTATATCACATTTTGATGATTTCTCAGGTTATTAAAACAAAATAATGCAATATTTACATTTATACAGATAATTATGTGGATTTAGAACATAAACCTCTTGAATGGACACCGATAAATCTTAGAAATTTCAGATATATGACTAAAATTTGCGAGATTTATTTCAATTTCAACATCTAAATTGTGTAGAAAAACAGTCCACATTTCGTCTAAAATCAATTCATGCAAGATTGAATATAGAGGATCTTACAAAAATATGTGTAAATCATGCGACTTCATCTTACGCTCATTATTATAAAACGAATGACAAACTTCCTGATTAAATACGAAAACTACTGGGTAGCTCAACAAAAGATATAAAAGAAAAAAACAATAGAAAATAGTGCAGTGAACATCTCTTCACGATTTCAATATTATAGTGAAATTATCAAGTTCAGTAGGCAGCTCTTGAATATAAAGTTTTGAACAACTAAATTTTGGCTTAAACATCATCTACAAGGGGTTCTTTGCTTGCATCTACAAGGGGTTCTTTGCTTGTAGGGCTATTAAGATCAATTGGTTCAAAGTGTTCTTTCTCTGCTTCAAGGCGCCGGTACTTTGTGCGAAACACAAGCACAAATACAAGCATGACGAGTATGGCATATCCTGTGAGAACATAAGTTGAGATTGCCAAATCCTTGACTTCGACCTTGTATTTGCTGTTAGTGTTACATTTGGAATTAACCAGTTTATCCTCAGGTATGTCAGATCCAATTGCACTAAGAGATATTACAAGAACAATACTTTGTAATTGACCAAATATGAACAGCATACCAGAGCTAGTTGCTTCACCACAGGGATAGGTTGTCTCGACGGAAAGCTCATTTCCTACCGGATATACAGGAAGCCCAAATAATCCAAATAAACCGCATGTAATTGCAATCCCCACCCACATATCAGGACGATTGTGCACAATCGAAAAAGCAATCAATGTTAATGAGGCAACGGCAAAACAGACTTTTGTAACTTCCATGTAGCGTTTTGTTTTATCAACAACTAATCCAGCAATTGCAGCTCCCACTAATCCTGCTCCAATGAGTGAAGACACACAAACAACTCCAGTGAAATTATCATCATATCCCCATGGACATAGCATCTGGGGAAGTAATGTTGTTAAGGTACTGAAGAGAGCTATTCCTCCTCCAATCGCCCATGCAAGAAGCCAATATGAAGGATTTTTGACAAGCTTCTTCAGTCCTGTTAAAAATGGTTCAGAAGCAGTTTCAGCACTGGCTGATGGAGGAGTTGGAGGCCTGTTACTGCAAATACCAAAGGTTGCCATTAATACAGCAAGAATACCGGGGATACTTTCTATTGCCAACATAAAAAGCATTTTTTCTTCTCCTGGTGCAAGCAAAGGTGATAGAATATATGCGAGCATGATTCCAAGTGGGTTACACATCGTCGCTAACATGTTTGCTGTTGCTCTTTGATCATCAGGAAACCAAAGCGCAGCCAATTTTGTGGGTGCGAATAGCATGAATGGTTGAGCCAAAGCAGCTAAAACAGTTCCAAAAAACACTAATGGAATTCTGGCATCATCAGATATACCATCAATGGCACTAACAATTCTTATTGCCGATCCTAGAAAGTTTAACCAAGCTGCCATGACAATGGATCCCCGTAAACCAAAGGTATCAAGAAGCCAAGTTGCTATAAAACCGCATGGAATTGCAGTTATCATATAAACAACAGATAGCATATTGACGGTGTCAAGATCAGTTTGGTAGAAACCTGCTGTTGTATAGGCTACAGGAGCAAAAGAAAGCCATTGCAGAGCATTCGATATATTCAATATTCCTAAAGTAGTAAGAATAAACCATCGCATCCTGTATACATGAAAACCCTCCTTTTGATTAGAAGCATTTTGATCACGATCAGTCTCTTCAAAAGTTATTGCTTCATCCATTTTATTAAGACCAGAGCTACCAAAAATGTAGAACCTAAAAATAAATTCAATTAAATATAGTTTAGAGTTGAATCATAGTCACATTTTCAGTTAGACTTCCAATCATTTTATTCTGATTCCCTTGGTACATAGGTATGGCAGTGTGGTCTTATTAGACGTACGAAAATCGAAATTAGAACTCAAATTGTCCTATGCCACAACAATCTGTAGGGTGAAAAGTCTTTAAACCGACTGACAGACTGAGCTGATGTAAACCAGCTGACTGACTGACTCCCAAACTGACTTCGCGTTTTCCAACCTTTTTTGGTCGCGGACTATTTTCTCACCGGCAAAAATCTTTGCGGACTCAAGGTGCGTTTATTGCAACCATACTCTGTGTGAAGAAGCAATAAAACCAAACACAACAGAATTTTAACGAATTTCAAAATTGGAACTTCGCCGCAAATACGTGTTCGTTAAAAGAGCCGACTTTTTAGTGTATGATGGCCTTTCATGGCAACGACGAGAAGTTTTAATTTATTTTTTCCTGTTTTAATTTAATTGTGTTTGTGATAACTCGCGGCTGCGTTGACTTACGACAATATGAAAGCATTGCTTCTTTAAAATGCCACGGCAATCTGTTAACAAAATATTGTTTAAGAGAATATATTGTCCGATTATATTCAGTTTTGATACATATTTTTTGCGATTTTGCGAATTTGTTATCGCTGTTAGAAAAATCTTACTATCCGCTAGCAATTTCCAGAAAGTACAACTTGATTTAGTACTTATTAAAAATGTATTTTTACATATTCATCGCCTTGCTTTATTATTATTAATTTAATTGTGATCATTTTAATCTGCGGTTGTGTTAAAGAAATAAAAGCAATACTACTCAGAAAATATCATGATAATCCGTGGATACAAAAATGCGCGGTAAAGTACCCGATTATATTTTGTTTTGATTGGTATTTTTGTGAAGTCGACAAATCTGAGCTGTTCGTAGAACACTAACGGCGCTGCAGTATGTAGGTACCAATGTGGAGGCAGTAAAGTAAAGAATCCTAAGGGAAAATGCCCGGGTACGTATACTGCGGTAGCACCCGAAATTTTTGCGATTTGCAATGTCTGAAAAAGCGTTTTCAATCGGTGGCGGACCATCATAAAACAAAGCTTACGGTGTTCTCGGTTTTATTTTTAGTATTTCGTATTGCCTATTTTCAATTTAGAAAATTGGGGTTGCCACCATTGACACCTATCACTTACCGGAAAATATTTTTATTCCTCGTTGTTCGAACTCACTTTTGTATCTATCGACGCGTGTGCCGACCACTGATGGTGCCGACTCGTGTTTTCGTCGAAAATCCGCAAGTGAGTTGTGAACTCCAATCGTTTGATTAGTTTCCTGTTGCGCCACCTTTTAAAAAATTTCGAATAGTATATTGCTATTCTAGTAGTTGAATATTCGAATATATACTCAGTAACCAGTAATTTTTAACTGATTAATGTTAGGTGAATAAACTTTTTATGTTTTATGTTAATTCTAACGTAAATCGTAACTTGGATGATAGTTAAGTTTCGCAAAAACGTTTGCGACCCACAGTAAATTTTTAGCTTGTTGCGGACTCATTTAAAGGCTCCGCGGACTCATTTGAGACCGCGGACTCGGGTTGGAAAACACTGTCTTATCCTATGGACCCTTCCCCGGGCATCAACTTCCTTGTTTACTTCGTGACATTAGCCAATCAGCAAGATGCAAAAAGGTACGTAACAATGCTCCCTTTTCGCGTCCTCTCAGACACTTTCCTCACTCAGACAGATTTTTAAGCGTGGTCGTAAACATTACCTCGTTTTCGCGTTTTTGAACTCTATTCGTTAGTTTTCAGTTGTGTTTCGGAAACTTAAATATGAATCAGATAATTCAATGATCACTCTGTCTTCCTAGGAGTTTTAATTTAATTGCAGTAATAAAAAATTAGTGTAGAAATAGCTGTGATGGACTATGCTAAAATTCTTTACCGGTACTTTTGAAAAACAGATTGTTGTATGCGATGAATCATAATGATGGTTTGAAACACATACCTCATTTTACAGGCACCAACTCGCAAAAGCACTCTTAAAATAGTCCCGAAAATTTTGCAATGGAAAGTATGGAAAGAATTTTTCGGGGTCAAAGGTCGGGGAAAGGTCCATAGACTAGTTAAGGCACAATTTCATTTCAACGATAAAATATGGCAACACTGAGTACAGAATTAGAAAATAGGACACCCCTCTTCACATTTGAGGATAGGATATGATTCACATATTTAACCCGGGGGAGAGGAAAGTCGATAAGACGGCCTAATCATATGGCGAACCACGGCCTCTCGTCCGGTTACTAGAGATGGGACGGGATTCGGATCCGGACCCGGATTCGAGTCGAATCCAGGCATTTTTTGGATTCGATTTCGAGTCCACGTCGTTTTTACCGAGTCTATAATCAATTCTGTTTTTACTAATTTACGCCTACGTTTGTAATTTTACCCCTATAAATTTTACTACATACCTTAACTAGTTGAAATTCAAGTTTAGATATGTAACAATATCACTCGTGTGTATTATAAACACTCCTAATAAAAACGACGACAGATATCCAGATAACATAACGCAAGTTAAAAACTATTGATAGCTTATAACAATGATGCGCCAGTCGCCTTCAAACCATCTAATTTCTTTGGTATACATGTGCAATCCTCTCTCTAAAAAAGGAGCAATGAAAAGCATGGAGCCTTTCAGAACGTTTACATGAACTACTAAATTGCAAGCATTGTATTTACGACGAGTGGCATCTCTCTACAATTTGCGCACGCGACATAGTATATTTAAGGCTAGAAATGTCTGAAATTACAGGAAAGCATTGTAGTCAAAAGCTTCTCACTTTTCATATTGACATGTAAGAATTTCTAAATTGCCGCCCAGAATTGACGCAAGGAGGTGGGCTGGAAATTCAGTTCACACAGGCAAGGCGCACATTGACTCACGTTTACGTTTGTATTATCGCCGCCAAAAAAAAAAGGAAAATATATTTTTAAATTGATTTAACAGCTATCTGCGGAACCATTAGGCAAAAAATATGTTTGTTAGCGCACAATGCTGTAGTATGGTCAAAAATGAGTTTTCTACTTTTACATTGTGACGTCACGGACTCGGAGGATTCGATTCGAGTCCTTGACCTATTACTCGGATTCGTCGAATCTCTGTAATGCCGGACTCGTCCCATCCCTACCGGTTACCAGTCCAGGTTGGGTATGGGATTAGTTAACTAGTTATTTGTTTTTGGAGGCATGGACTTGATGGTGGAGGAAGCCGTAACCGACCAGCGGTTACGTGAAGCACCCTACAGCGGCGAGGAGTCCAGCAATCCTCTCGCACATGATCATCCCCGCGTGAGATTCGAACCTGCGGGGATGATCATGTGCGTTTCTGAAACCTCGCTCGCGTGCCGAATAAATGGGCTCGCGTGCCAAGGGTTGCCCACCCCTGCACTAGAACAACTGATCAGACGAAATCAACGCATACCAGGAAGTATTATATTAAGTTTCATTCAACGATTTACAAGCAATTATGAAAAAGAGTTTGAAGTTCTACCAGTAGAGGGCTCTAGTCTAGTGGGTCAGAAGATTCGAGCGAAAGCGAAGTTTCGGAAAACGGATCGGCTTGTAAATCACTCGATAAATCAAAGAGCGAAGACAACGCCAGTAATAACAATTTTCGGACACCATTTCTAGTTTGTTCATGTAAAGAATGCGATGCATTAAAGAAAATGAATCTGGGATTGGAATCATTAGGAACAATAGCATTACCACAAGTACCTCTATTAATATTATCCATGAGAACAACAGCTATTGATACAAACTATTAATTCATATTAATAAAAATGAGTAAAATAGCAATATATTATCTCACTTTTGTTGGTGCATTTTTGGTACACAAATTGATGAGAGGTCTGAATGACTCAAATTCAAACTACCATGCGCTGTATGTTGATCGAAAAGCTGCGATATTTCAATAATGGATCATAGTATTTAGTATTTAAAATCAGGTTTCTGGTCCAACTTGGCAATGAAATAATAGTTGGGATACACTTTAAATTTTTTTTTTTTTCGATTTGCTGCTTGCTGTAATAATCACCATGTCAGTATGTCTCGTATGAAGACCTATGATATGAAAAATCAAGCTCATTTGTTTATTTATATAAAAAATAGCGCTCCCGAAGTATGTGTGCCAAGAAGCCGCACAGCGTGAACCCTAACCGGGTACATATACTATGTTCAGGTTGTGTGCCATCTTTGTGCACATACTTCGGGGGCTCCAAAAAAATAATCCAAATGAAAAGAGATACACCCTTTACTTTGAATTTTTTTCATTATGTTTTTGATAGGTTACATTCTTTGATTTTCTGTTTGTCGAACGAAATCCGTTGAGACGCATAACCATTGAAAATCTGGGCCAACAGAGCTTAAGATGTGGGCAGCCTTCATCAGTGGGGATATTCTTCATTATTGCTTTCTCAAAACTTGATAAATTGCAAATTTGAGCCGTTTAACTAAATTTAAATTGGTTTAGCATTTGTCGTCTCAATTTTTTTCTCATTTTTCTTAAATTGCAATATACAGCATACTATTTGAAAATCTGCCAGAAATCTTGGACATTGGACATTGGACATTCTTTAAGCTACAAATTTTGTGGGCGATGACCCTTTTTGTTCTTGTCAATAGTTACAAATACTCCTGTTACATCCGTGATGACTTTTTCATGCTGAAGACTCGTTTTCTTTTCTTATGTTCCTTATTTCATTATTATTTAGTTTGTTACAGATATATTAGTTTAAGTATACTATCAGTTATATCACCATTGTGACACAATTTGAAGTTAACAAATTAAGTCGTTGTTGGACACGTAGTGGACATAACGATCGTTTCAATATTATGTTGTTCTTGTTCTTGTTGTTTGACACAGAATAACACACCTAGTGGAAATATTAAAAAACCGCTTTTCTCTTCGAATACTGGACCAATTGCTTTGAAATTTTCAGTGGTTGAAGATAAAATTTTTCCCCAGAAGGCTATTACTTTTATTCATTTTGAAGATTTCTGTTAGCTCTGTGAGATTTGTTTTTGTTTGCTATGACGTCATTAAACGTTCTGCGGACATCGGACGCCATTTTGTGTCCTACTGTACTGCTTCGATTGGTGTGAATATATTTGTAGACTGTGATCTGAACATAATTTAGGCAGTTTGATTCCTTTTTTTATTTCGAATTGATGCGTATTTAATAGATATAACCGATGAGAAAATAATGCTGGCTCGGGAGTCTGGGATTGGTTTGTCAGGGGTTTCGAATAGTTGTTGTTCGGGATAAACTAGCGATCGTCGTGGTGTATGTAGAAAGGCGTGTGCACCATGCGTATGACGTCACTAGTATTATGATGTCATCCTGACGAGCAGCGGTATTCTGGGGCGCGCTGGCGCAGGATCCGGACCCAAAACGACGCGTAAATTTTCATCTCTGGCCGACCATTGGCCGTAGATAAATCGAGTGTAATTATTGAAATTGATCTACGATCATGCGTGATCATACTTGATTCGAATGAAAATGTCAAAATATTATTTTTTTCAAGGGGTGACCCTTCAATTTTCTCCATTTTTCGTTTATTTTGGGATTTCTATCTCCTTGGATATCTGCGTAATCCAATTAATTACGACACGAATTTAATACGGGACAGTAAGTTCGCGGGAATCAAACTTTGGTCACCATGAACAAACTAAAGGCAACCGCCTCTACCAACTAGTCCAAGGGAGAACGTGGGAGTAAGGAACTAAGTTCTAATATTTATCATTCATTTTAAATGACTTGATAATTTTTTTTCATCAAGTCCTTTGAGATGATACTTAAATATTAGACCTTGGGCTTTTGTTTCTAAGTTCTGAATTGGCCTAGTTAGTGAAGGCGCTAGATAAATCATCAATTTGTTCACGATGACCAAAGTTTGAATCCCGCGATTAACATCAGCTTATCAAATTTGTGTAGTCGCTGGAAAGGCGGCGCAAAGATCTATATAACGAAGGAGAAACTCGAGCAGTGAGACGATAAAAACCTCAAAATAAGAGAAAATGAAGGAAATCGAAGGGTCACCCCTTAGAAAATAGAGAATTTTGATTCGGTTCATGTATGACCAAGCATGATCGTAAATTAATTTCAGCAATTAAACTCGAATTATCCATGGCCTATGATCGTCCAGAGATATAAAAATTTCGCGTCGTTGGTTCCCGGATCCGGCTCCAAGGGACGTCATAACCTAGTGACGCCAGTCACTGTAAAGCACGCGAAATCACGCCAAAATGACGTTTTAAGACACTTCTTACACCTAAACTCCCAAGTCCTATTTTTTATTTGCCTTTAACAAAACCCAATTGCCGACAACCAATAAGTAGGGAGAAACGGATATTTCTTCAATAATTTTATTCTTTCCAAGTAAGAGCATAAATAGAGAAAAATATACAGAGAGATCCTTGGCTTACCTGGGTCAGCTTTCCAAACAAGCCGATTTTTAAGGGCGATCTCCGAAATGAAGGACTGTAATAAAAACCTAATCTAATGGACTCACCCAAAAAACTCCTAGTTCTCAAGAGAAAATACGAGTGGATAAAGTTTTGAGATATTAATGAGAATGCAGGGACAGATTTAAAAAGAGCAACATTGAGATATCAAGCTTTTCTGCCATGATCAGACGCGGAATGAAGACTTGTAAATTTATGGGTTATACCTGGGCTCGTGGCATATCTAGTCAGGAGGACCACTGTGCCTTCCCCCGGCCATGTGTGCCATTTGGATAAGAGCGCACAAATCGATTACCTCATTTTGATAACAAACTTACTTTATAGTAATGACTTAAGTATCCCAAAATAACAAACAGTCGTTAAAAATTACAGTAAACGATCATGGGGGCGCATTTTAAACTTGGGCCAGGCTTTGATATCCGACAAACCAAGGTAGAAGGATGGTTAAGGAAAAATTAAAATATTTGATTTATATATATAATTTCGAAGAACTATCAAGCCATTTATTTCCGTCTCAGTGTTGTCAATCTCTTCTTTATCCTTTTAATCCAGAACGCAACTGAAATATAAGAATAGATTCAACGCAGGACAGGACACTGCAGATGAGAAGTAGATTGATTATTCCAAAGTTAAAAATACATATAAAACTAGTTTACCTCATACAACATGCTCAAATATAGGGACACGAAAGCCAGCTCAAAGAAGTAAGGGCATGCAATCTATCACAGTAGACTACCGGTACTGTTTGACCATGCACTAGATTGTTAACGCTCAAGCGAAACCCCCCACAATGTGCGCAACTTCAATTTTGGGGACGTGAAGGCGTCTAATTTTGATGACTTCAACGGCATTTCACAAATGAATCACACACAGTACAAAAATGTGAAATGAATATAGTAATTGCCTTCCAGTTTTTTAAATTAATTTAATTTAAACACTGAAAATTTCCAGGCAATTGGTCCAGTAGTTAGTAGAAATAGGCGATATTTTCACACCAACAGCAACAACCTAATAACAAGACGATACATTTGTCTATTTCGTGTCCAATAACATCAGAAATAACGATTTCAGACTCCAGACCAGGCGACTCGAGTAGTTATAAAATTCATCTGCTAGCTTGTGTATTCGGAGCTGCATATGGCAACAGTAACTATATTTCCGTCTGTGCAAGTATAATATATATTGAATCGGCTGATGATGATAAATTGGTTTTAGTACTTCGCCCAACAATGGCAAATTTGCAGTAATTATACAGATACACAAGAGCTGATCAAAAGAAACGATCACATCGTAGAAGACATCGTCAGTATAATAGCGGATTCCATTGCCTTATACGCACGATAATAAAAACACCTACAGACAGACAGATGATTTGTGAGATTCGTTGTCGCTTCAACCAGCTTGTTCCGTAATTCGGACAGAACCTGCATGATAAAATAAAATTAGATATCGGCCTTCGATAGGAATAGTTGCTGATCGTAAAGAGCAGCGGGAATCATCCCACGAGGGGGGCGTAGACAATTTTCTGAGGGTGCGTTAAGCTAATTAAAAATATAAATATTTGTTAGATTTGATCTTGTCCGCCTCATTTTGTATATTTACGTCCTATCCACGTATTTTCATCGTGTTTTTTGAATAAAACATAATTTCGCTTTACTATTTGTTATAGTTATGTTGAGGTGGGGCGCGAGACAAATTATAAAAGGGGGGCGTGGATCAAAAAGTTTGTGAACCCCTGATAGAGTTTCGTTTGACTGGAAAGACTATATGGAAAGACTATTATAGAAAGGTTATACTTACTTCAACAAACTCTTGATTCGTGATATTCGCTTTCACCTTATTCGCTTATGCTCGTATTCATGGCATAACCTAAATAATAAAATACAAGTTAGGAAACTGTCGAACCCGAAATATTCCACCCAATTAAAAAACGCCTTAGCGCAGAAATCTTATTTTACATTCAATATTATTTCTTTCAACACAGAGACAGCTAATGCGTGTACGGATAGGATGTCGGAATAAATAATAGCAATTAATTTTAGAGCGAATTCAATTCAATTTATAAACACGAGCACTTCCAAACCCCAACAACAGTATTTCTAGGGTACCCAATCTTTTTCGTTGAATTTCTCCCTATTTTGAAACTCTTTATTCCTTCCTCACTATGCATGACAACTAATTTATTTGTTCAGTCTTCAATGGATCGTTTGTTGGAAATTGTAATAACTTACATGTTTGACTCAGACGTAGCGGACATCCTACATTCATTTCCTAATCAGCTTTCAGCTTCCAATGAATGAATTTCAAGACAAATCTCAAACCACGACAATTTCTGTAACACAAATATCGGAATCTGATTATGCCCGTTACAAATTGTTTTTAAAAAGACAAATTTTAAGTTTCTGTTCCCAAACACCTGATGCAAAACGTAAAAACATAATTTATAGTTTAAGTACATAATTTATTTATAAGTTTTTCGCGAGATTCATCGGAAGACACTCATCTTACTTTAAATACAAATTTTTAAATTTATAAACTACAAACAAAAAGATCGTGATAATATCGTGGTGAACAACGGCAAAAAAGTCTTACAAAAAAGACAATGATTGTGTTGATAAAAACTTACTTTCAGTTAAATTGTTCTGCATGTTAGAATCCAGTTATGCTGAAGATCCACCTCCTATCCAATTCCGTCTGCACATGCATATTAATACAACATAAAATTGAAGGATAATTTAGTTGTGTAGAAAATTTCGCAATTCCAATTGCTATTGAGACATAAAATTTGGCCTGGCCTACTTCATACGGAGCGTGAATTACTTTTTGCGTAATCATTTTTTTTTCTTACTTATTATGTTTGTCAACAAAAATAATCTCGTGGTCGATAGAAAAACTACTAGAATAATATTGCTTTTACAAAATACGAAAGTTACATAAAATGAAATGAATTTAACCGGACTGCAGATGCATAGTCATCAATACCATCTAATACTTCATACTCAACTGAATAAATGTTCGTCAATTGCATTTCCTTTAGCAGATCCCGATGCCAACAATTCCAGAATTTGTGATCCAATTCCACCACGGATCAATAATTCTAGGCCTAATATTAGCATTAGTAAAACATACCTGTAAAAACATAAAATTGCCTGCAAGGGAACGAGAAAACTGCAAATAAAGCCAGATCACATTAATTGTCTGTAGAATAAATTATCTATAGAACAGACAAAACGACGAATACATTGGAAATATATTCAAAATGTAAATTTAAATGCACTTACAACTAATGTACGTTTCTCAGCGCAAGAGCCCATTGGTATAAAACCTCCATAGGTAATCAGATTTATGTTAAGTTTAATATAATAAGACAATACAATGACACTTACGAAATCATAAAACTTCCAAGACTATATATTATATTGCCCGCGCTTGGCAACTTATGGCTTTAAATAAATTAACATTACCTTATTAATCCGTGATCGTTTCCCGGGAGTCTTGGAATAATGAATTTGACAACAATCATCGCGTTAATACTATGTTATGGCCTAACTGTATTATTATTTCGTATATATTTAGCTATTAGTCCTGTGTCTTTCGTTTTCGTTTCACCTCGACAGTCCCACTTCGTAGCCGATTGAATCAACAATTGTAGCTTGACCTAGGTTTAACTGCATTAGTATAGCTGTGAAAGACTCAGAAATACGGTTGCAAAGAAGAAAAACGCTAGGATATAGGAGAATGAACGTAACACACAACAAAACATAAAAACCTTTGCGGACTCAACGTGCGTTTATTGCAATGGTATTCTGCGCGAAGAAGTAAAAAAAAACCAAACACAACAGAATTGTAACGAATTTCAAAATCGGAAATTCTGCGCAATTACGCGTTTGTTAATGGACCCCAAACTTTGGAACACTCTTCCCTCAAATTTGAAAACGTTAAAGTCTAAAAAATCTTTTCAAAAACAAGTCAAGTCTTATCTAGTCTCCAAATATTAAAAGTTACTGTTTCAAAAACTCACTGATACGTGCTAATAGTTTCGGAGCAATCAATCAAGTTGGGACACTCCTCATTTGCACTTTGTTTTTTTTAAAAGGCGGTTTCAATAGGGTTATTTTTGGCGTGCTTAGTGACGTCATTACTGATTCGTCAGGCCAGGGCCCAGGGACAGTATAGTTATTATGGTTCCGAATGCTAGAGACGATTTCGTTATGACGGCTTCCTCCGACTAGATCTGGCCTCTTACCGCCGCGAGTTCGCCTCGCAATTTAATTTTTGAACTATATATAGTTTATTTTCAAGCAATTTTCAAAATCAATTCATTACGTCATAATATGACGTCGTATGACGTCATTGTTGAAGAGGGGTCACAGATGGCGGGGCCTGTGGGATTCTAATCGTCTAGATCCGGTCCTGCCTATAGCTTTTACTAGAATGTAGCTTATTGTGGCATTGGATGTTCACAATGAAATTGCTTGCAGTCAATTTGCAGATCTGAATCTTCGTGTGCACTCTGTGGTAAAGACGGATTGTTTTCAGTAGGTTGCCAGGTTTACATATTCATCCCAGGGAAGAGGAAAGCCTATAAGACGGCTTGATCATAGGGCTAACCACGACCTCTCGTCCGGTTACTATCCATGTCGGGATTAGTTAGCCAGTTATTTGTTTTCAGAGGTATGAACTTGATGGTGAAGAAAGCCGTAAGCGACCAGTGGTAACGTGAATAGTGTCGAGGAGTACAGCAACCCTCTCGCACATAATTAACCCCCGCAGAGTGATCAGAGGTGCGATGGCGAGTGTACTCTTAACGCTGAGCACGATGTATCGCATAGCTGCAAACTTTTTAGTTTCCATCAACCCATTATTTCTTGTTAAGTACGGGATTGCTTACGGAAGTGGTAAAGAAAGATGTGTTGTGTATTCTAATACAGGGGTTCTCAACCGCCGGTCCGCCAAATATATTCCAATATAAGTATATTATAAACGAATTCCAAAATACAAAGTATTGACGACACATCCATTTACTTTATGATTTTTTACCTCATATTAATTCTAACAACCAAACTTGGTGAGAGGTCCTCTGCCCATTTAAAGCCCTGAACGGCTGAATGTTTTTAAACCTCTTCATTCATGACTTTTTCGCTTACAACGAAAATCTTTATCTTTGTATTGAAATGAAGTAACTAGAATGTCGATAGCATATATACTGAAGATGATGACGTATTGATGATGTCATCATCGAGTTCTGTAACGTTGTTCGGGAACAACATCATGAAAGAAAGGGAATGAGTGATCTTCTTAAAACCCCCATTACTGCAATGAAACTACTAATATTAAACACTAACATTGATTAACTTTACAACGAAATGGACTATAATCACTATATGTTCTCTGAGTCCTGAAAAAGCTCCTTTTTCCAGTTTGTGTAAAAACATTTCAAACCAATTTTTCCTCTTTTCCGATCCTAAATATGTGCTATACTTGTCCACACTGCGAGCAAAAGCCGCTTCTACTGATTTTTTTTATTGGTAGAAAATGTACAAATATCGCTAGATTGAGATCTATTGGATAGTCTGGATAAGATGGAGACATTGATAACGATTGTCGTACTAGTTCTTTGCTAGATAATGGCGGGGATTTTTCAATGGGAGACTTAAACGTGCACAGATTCAATTGATTCTCCTAATGTTTACCCGCAACAGCATGCAGTTCAAAATCGATGTATGGGAGACAGCATATAAAAAAAGATTCACCTTCGGTGTTTGCTATATATACTCTCCGATCATCGTCCATGTAATTATTTTCAGATACTGATCTATACTGTGGCACATATATGTGTGTTAAACTGGGCTCATGTGAAACTATTGGATATACGCGACGATATACGAATCCTCTTAGTTGCCTCGCAGATTTATCATGATTGCATAAACATTTGTTCGCAATTAGAGCTGGGCATTTTCAAATACTTATTGTTTTTCGAATTGAATCGAATATTTTTCGAATCAAATCTCGAATACTTGAATGATTGACCAATCGTCTGACCAATTCCAAAAATTTACTATTCGATTTAAAATGCCCAACCCTATTCACATTTCACAATGTTAAAAATCAAGTGCATAACAAGATTTATCATCGCCATAATATAAATTTTTATTCTTAAAACTCATACTTTGCTTTCAAGCATAAACTCTAAGAGTTTTATGCAATTCCACCCACTCCACATTTTGTCAAACTTTCAAACTAAAACAAGTCCGACATTTCGTTCTGAATACAACTGGGAGTGTTCTGCAAGATGAGACATTAAATTATCACCAAAAACAACTTCAAAGCAGCGTATTGGGAAAGGACCATTTCTGAAGTTGCGTGTAACATATAACCAGGGAGTGTCTAGGTGGGGGCAGTATGGGTCAGCCGCCCAGGGAAGCACGATTTGGGGGTGAGTTTGTTGCTTAGTTAGATTATTGAAATAATAAAAATACAAATATTTCACTCTTAATTGATCATTGATTGATTCATACTCGTGTATAACAACATCTATAATTTGTTTATCCCTCTTATTATTTTTGAAGTTAGGTATGAGGGACATTACAATGAGAAACCCGGGTAGCAAAAAAGTTTGAAACGTCCCTGCATGTAACGCAGGTTTTTCTCTCTGGCGCTTTCGAATACCAGTCTGTATTTTAATATAATGCTTCCAATACCTGTCTTGGTGAATGCAAGATACAAGACCCATTTCCTGATTTTAAAAAAATGACGCAAAGTTTCTACAAAATTGAAAAATAGTTGAATTTTATTTTTTTAATTTTTAAGCAGTATGTGCCTAAATGCATGTAGTTCTGGTGTTTCTGCAATTTACTTGTTCAAATAAACTGCTGTAAGCAATCCTCTATGAATTGTACGACCTCTTAGCGGAATAAGGAAAATAAAATACTTCCGCAAAATTAATACTGCTAAATATCGCCATCCCATAATTTCATGATGTTGTTTGTCAACAACATTTACACATAAGTCAATCACTCAATTACCAAAGCAATGTAAACCAAACGATTCCAGCATTGTTTCAGAACTATCAACTACCAACCACGGTCATATTTTTTATTTTCATCAATAATTAGGTTATCGTACGAAATTTTTTCTTCAAACATGCTCAATTTCCGATCTGCATTAAAAAAAATTCAACCTACTTGTTTTTAAACTTGCCAAGACAATCTCAAACCATTGAGGGTCACAAAACGTGCGTGTTACTTGTTGTAGTCAGCGAACGCGCAGTTTGATAGGTTAGTGGGTATGTGGGACAACCAATCACATACATTTGTTGTGAACAACAAAACTAACGAAAGGTTTAGTCATAACGGAGGAGTTTGATAGCACATAGTACTAGGGTTGGGATTTCAGAGCCATTTTTTAAAATATCGACACAGAAATATTAGAGCATCTAGGGCAGTGGTTTCCAACCTTTTTTTTTATATCGCGGAACACTATTTAGCTATTTAAATATTCGCGGTACACCTATCACAAAACACGAACATTTCCTACTCATGAAGAGTGCGATAGGCGAACGCGACCAAATGGTCAATAGTTACCGATATTATAACTTTTTTATTACATTAATGTAAACGAGGTTGTTTGCTACAATTAAATATGTTTCTCCCATTTCCAAAATTATTCATCAAGCTAAGAAACGCAAAACACAACAAAAAACTCACTAAAACGTGCAAAAATCTTACTATACTATATCCAGCGTAAGACTTCAAACTCTTCATAAGGGAGAAAGGGTCAAAAAGCGAAAATGTTCTCTTAGATTGCCACCGACACAACTTGCAGACATATTAAGCAAGCATTGTGGTATTTTTCCACCCATATCCAGTCAAAAATCTATTTGATTTAGTCAGCTTTCTTTTCAAACTCATGTTTACAAAATAACCTACAAATAACTGCAGAGTGATTGATTACCAAATGTGAGGTACAGAAGGGTAATTACTAAATTTTTTGACATATAGGCAGCATTTTTTGTAATACTGTTTAGGCTGGTTGCAAAAAAACACCCGGCAGAAATTTATCGGCCATTACATTAATATTTAGTTATCAGACATAACCAACCTAGGCTAATAGGTTCCTCATTCGATATTTA